TTGCTGTCTCCCTCGCTGACCCCTCTGGGGGTCCAGTCATTGCGACCTCCTCCACTGTCCTTCCCTGTCCAGCGGTCCCGTCCGGCACACTGTCAGGGCTCTACCTCCCCTCGTTCTCTACGAACTTGGTGGCAGGTAGCGCGCTCCAGGACGGGGGTGTTCACCAGTTCACCCCTGCCTACGAGCGTGTGACACACTGCACGTGTGCTCGGACGGGTCGTCACCTGGCTACCTTCACTCGGGAGCCAGGGTCGGACCTGTACACACTGACCACTGGGTCCCCACAGGTGGCTGCGTCTGCGTCTGCGTCAGGTCAGCTGTCCGCCCCCTGCTCGTGTCGGTCTCTCGCGCACGACACCGTCCTCTGGCACCACCGACTTGGCCACCCGTCCGTGCAGCGCCTTCGGACCATGCACCAGCGGTACCTTGTCTCTGGTCTTCCCAGGGTTCTCCCTCCCCTCCCACCCTCGCCGGCTCCTCCCTGTATTCCCTGTGTCGAGGGGCGGCAGCGCGCCGCTCCTCACTCTTCTGCGTTTCCCCCGACGGAGGCTCCTCTGCAGACACTCCACCTGGACGTGTGGGGCCCCGCCCGCGTCCGTGGACAGGGCGGGGAGCGCTACTTTCTGCTGGTAGTTGACGACTACACGCGCTACACCACGGTCTTCCCCTTGCGCACCAAGGGTGAGGTCCCTGATGTCTTGATCCCTTGGATCCGCGCTACTCGTCTCCAGCTGGAGCGGCGCTTTCGCTCGGACCTTCCGGTCCTGCGACTGCACTCTGATAGGGGCGGTGAGTTTTCCTCCGACCTCTTGAGCGCCTTCTGTCAGGAGGAGGGCATTGAGCAGACGTTCACGCTTCCGGCCTCTCCGCAGCAGAATGGGGTTGCTGAGCGCCGCATTGGCCTGGTCATGGAGGTCGCTCGTACCTCCTTGGTCCATGCGGCTGCCCCCCATTTTCTGTGGCCGTTTGCTGTCCGGTACGCCGCGCATCAGCTCAACCTCTGGCCCCGTGTCTCCGCTCCGGAGACCTCGCCGACACTGCATTGGACGGGAGAGGTTGGCGATGCGTCGGTGTTCCGCGTCTGGGGATCTCGTGCCTTTGTCCGCGACACGTCCGCGGACAAGCTCTCTCGTCGCGCTGTCCCCTGTGTCTTCCTTGGCTTTGTCCCTGACGCGTCTGGCTGGCAGTTTTACCACCCTGTCTCGCGCCGTGTCTTCCCCTCTCAGGACGTCACGTTCGACGAGTCGGTCCCCTTCTACCGTCTCTTCCCCTACCGCACTGCCCCGCTCCCCCCTCCGCCTCTCTTCCTCGCGCCAGGTGCTGCTGTTGTAGAGCCCCTCCCCCCTCAGGGTGCCGCTCCCTCAGGTGTGTCTCAGGTAGACCCCGTTGAGCCTGTCGAGGTAGCCGTCGAGTCGCGTCCTCCTCGGGGTACTGAGCCTGGGGGTGCTGAGACTGGGGGTGCTGAGCCTGGGGGTGCTGAGACTGGGGGTGCTGAGCCTGGAGGTGCTAAGACTTGGGGTGCTGAGCCTGGAGGTGCGGAGCCTGGAGGTGCTGAGCCTGGGGGTGCTGGGCCTGGGGGTGCGGAGCCTGGGAGTGCTGAGTCTGGTGGTGTTGAGTCTGGTGGTGCTGAGCCTGAGCGTGCTACACCTGGAGGAGCCCTCTCCTCCCAGCAGCTGCAGGAGAGGTACCTCCGGTACTGCAGCCTCCGGAGGGGTGCTCCTGGCGCCGGTACCCGTGCTTCCCCACCTCCCCGGGAGCTCCCCTCCCTTCAGCAGATCCGAGAGTGGTACACGCGGCGCTGCAGTCTTCGGAGTGGAGCCCCTGGTGCCGCGGACCCGGACGGTGGAGCTGCTGCTGGTGCTGAGGACCCGGACGGTGGAGCTGCTGCTGGTGCTGAGGACCCGGACGGTGGAGCTGCTGCTGGTGCTGAGGACCCGCACGGTGGAGCTGCTGCTGGTGCTGAGGCCCCGGGCGGTGGAGCTGCTGCTGGTGCTGCGGACCCGGGCGTTGGGGCTGCTGCTGGTGCTGCGGACCCGGCCGGTGGAGCTGCTGCTGGTGCTGCGGACCCGGACGGTGGAGCTGCTACTGGTGCTGAGGCCCCGGGCGGTGGAGCTGCTGCTGGTGCTGCGGACCCGCACGGTGGAGCTACTGCTGGTGCTGAGGTCCCCGGTGCTGGTGTCCCTGCTGGCTCTGGAGACGCTACGAGGCCGCGACCGTACTTCGTCCCGCTCCTTCAGCAGGTTCTTGGTCTGGCTCCTCCTCCTTGTCCTCCTCCCTCCGTAGAGTGTCTGCAGCCTGTCCAGTCGCAGTCACAGTTACCGCCTACCTCGCCTCTCCCTGGTCCCTCTCCTTACACCGGTCCCACAGGAGGTCTTACCGAGCGTCGTGAGCCTGCGTCTCGTCCTGCGTCGCCTGTTCGTCCTGCTTGCACTAGTCGTCGTGGCACATGTGAGCGTCCTCCTCCTGTCCCTGGCACTCACTACATGACACTGCGTCGCTCCACTGCTCCTCAGCATGTCCCTCTGCCGTCTCCTCCTGCGTCCTCTCTCCCTACTCTTCCTGACCCGGAGTCTGACTCCCGTCGTGCTGCCAGTCCCACTGTCATGCGTCTCCTCGCCACTGTTGTCACTGACCCTACCTTTGAGTCCTCTGTTGCGTCTGCTCTGGTCGCTGAGTTGGTTGACTTTGCTGCCGCGTGCCGTCTAGACTTCGCCGCTAGCCTTGTTGCTGAGTCTGAGTCTGTCTGTCCTCCGTCCGTCGGGGGTGAGTGTGCTCTAGGCACGGACGTCCTTGAGGACAGGCAGGAGGAGTTCCAGTGCTTTGCTGCTGCTTTGCCCCATCTCGTGTCCATGCTAGTTGCCCCTGAGGGAGACCCGGATGCACCAGACATCCCGACCCCGCGCTCTTACGCAGAGGCGGTGGCAGGTCCCTACTCCTCTCAGTGGCAGACAGCCATGGACGCAGAGATGGCTTCCTGGAAGTCCACAGGCACCTACGTCGACGAGGTTCCTCCACCTGGGGCGAACATCGTCAGTGGCATGTGGATTTTCAGGGTGAAGCGGCCGCCTGGTTCTCCTCCTGTCTTCAAGGCACGCTACGTTGCTCGAGGCTTCAGTCAGCGCGAGGGAGTAGACTTCTTCCAGACCTTCTCCCCCACCCCGAAGATGACCACACTTCGGGTGCTGCTGCACATAGCCTCTCAGCAAGACTACGAGCTTCACTCTCTTGACTTCAGCACTGCTTTCTTGCAGGGCAGTCTGCACGAGGAGATCTGGCTGCGCCGCCCTCCTGGCTTCACTGGGTTGTTCCCTCCTGGTACCCAGTGGAGGCTCCAGCGGCCAGTCTACGGTCTCCGCCAGGCGCCACGTGAGTGGCACGACACACTGAGGACGACACTCGCGGCACTTGGGTTCGCTCCTTCTACTGCTGACCCGTCGCTGTTTCTACGCACTGACACCTCGCTGCCGCCGTTCTACATCCTCGTGTACGTCGACGACTTGGTCTTTGCCACTGCTGACACAGCACTCGCCCACGTGAAGTCGGAGCTGCAGAAGAGACACACATGCACAGACCTGGGTGAACTGACAAGCTACCTTGGCTTGCGGATCACTCGGGACAGAGCACAGCGCACCATCACCTTGACTCAGTCACACATGGTGCAACAGGTCCTTCAGCGCTTCGGCTTCACGTACTCCTCGCCTCAGGCCACTCCTCTGCCTACAGGTCACTCGCTCTCAGCTCTGCCTTCGGATGAGTCCGTAGAGTCGAGTGGCCCGTATCCAGAGCTTGTTGGCTGCCTCATGTACCTGATGCCCTCATGCACTCGACCTGACCTTGCACGCTATGTCGCTCCTGGCCGTCACAGGAAGGAGCACATGGATGCCGCTAAGAGGGTGTTGCGCTACTTGTGCAGTACGTCGGGCATGGGGCTAGTGCTTGGAGGGCGAGACCGTGTTGTACTCACTGGACACTCAGACGCTTCTTGGGCGGACGACCAGGCTACTCAGCGGTCGTCTCAGGGTTACACCTTCAGCCTTGGCTCTGGCTCAGTTTCTTGGCGTTCTACACGCTCTTCTTCTGTTCTCAGCTCCAGTTGTGAGGCTGAGATCTACGCCACAGCCATGGCGGCCCAGGAGCTACGCTGGCTGACCTACCTGCTGACTGACTTGGGAGAGCGGCCTCGTTCCCCTCCAGTGCTGTACGTTGACAACAAGGCTGCCATTGCCTTGTGTGAGGAGCACAGACTGGAGCACAGAACGAAGCACATCGCTCTGCGGTACTTCCTTGCTCGAGAGCTTCAGCAGCGTGGTCAGCTTTGTCTGCGTTACGTGGCCACTGAGGCCAACACTGCTGATGTGTTCACCAAGGCGCTTCAGCCTTGTGACCATCAGCGCTTTTGCACTCTCCTAGGTCTTGTGCCTACTGGACCTCACTTGCTCACTTCTTGACTCTGTCTGTACTGTGATCTTTATATATTTGTATACCTGCATGTTTACTCTTGCTAGGTTGTGATCATTGTATCTCTTGCTCTATTATAAACCTGCATGTGAACTGGTCTTGTGACCGCTTGCTTGTGCTCGGAATTTGTGTGGAATCCTTGAGATCCACCCTGAGCTTGTTTTGCCTTGCTCTGCCTTGACTGGTCTTGTGACCCCTAGTTCTCCCCCACTTTGCCTATGGGGGTGTGTCAAACATTATATATGTTATGCTTGTGTAGGCTACAGTGGGTTAGCCTATACGGGGTACACAATTCTAGGGTTAGGTACTTGTACTGTTTTGCACTGTTAGTTCATCATTCCTGTTCGTTCTTTCCGACAAGGAGGAGACGGCAGGGGGACGCGCAGTGGAGCAAAGGACGGACGAAGTACCATGGTGTGAGTACGAGGCAAAGGAGGAGGACGCGGACGCGGGACACGACGAGCAGTGCAAACAGCGCGAATAGGGGAGGCAGGACGAGACTCAGGCTCACGACACTATGTAAGGGAGACCGACTGCTCAGTCTAGCGGGACGGGACAGGCAGCGGCGAACCAGAAGGAAGGGCAGTGGACGAAGGAAGACTAAGAACCTGGCGGAGCACCGACTCGGGCGGAAGCTCAGACAGCTGCGGCGGCGGCTCGAAAAACGGTCGCTGCTGCACAGGGCCTCCAGTTCCAGGACCTCCAGCTCTAGCACCGCCAGCTCTAGTAGTGTCAGCTCTAGTGCCTCCAGCTCCAGCGATTCCAGCTCCAGTGCCCCCAGCTCTAGTGGCTCTAACTCCAGTGTCCCTAGCTCCAGCGCCTCCAGCACCACCGGCTCCAGCGTCCCCAACTCTAGGGCCTCCAACTCCAGCGTTTCCAGCACCAGCGCCTCCAGAACCACTTGGTCCAGCTCCTCCGGTACCTCCAGCACCAGCATCTCCAGCTCCAGTGCCACTAGCTCCAGCAGCGTCACTCCGAAGGCGACAGCGGCTAGAGTACCACTTGCGTAGCTGCTGTGGGGAGAGAGGCTCCTGGAGGGGAGACGTAGTACCCCTAGGCGCAACACCCCCAAACGCCGCACCCCCAAGCTCCGCACGCTCAAGCTCAGCACCCCCAGGCTCCGCACGCTTAGGCTCAGCACCCCCAGGCTCCGCCATCGCAGGCTCAGCACCCCCAGGCTCAGCACGCGCAGGCTCAGCACCCCCAGGCTCCGCACGCTCAGGCTCAGCACCCCCAGACTCAGCACCCCGAGCACCACCCCCAGCAGCACCAGAGTCACCAGTGACCTCGACAGGCTCAGCCAAGGGGAGTGGGTCTACCTGAGACACACCTGAAGGAGCAGGACCAGGAGGAGGGAGGGGGTCTACCGGAGGGGGACCTGGAGCGAGGAAGAGCGGCGGTGGTGGGGGGGGGAGCAGTGCGGTAGGGGAAGAGTCGGTAAAAGGGAACCGACTCGTCAAAGGTGACGTCCTGAGAGGGGAAGACACGGTGCGAGGTGGGGTGGTAAAACTGCCAGCCAGGCGCATCAGGGACAAAGCCAAGGAAAACGCAGGGAATGGTGCGAGCGGAGAGCTTGTCCATGGTGGTATCCTGGACAAAAGCACGAGAGCCCAAGACCCAGAAACGCGACGCATCGCCAACCTCCCCTGTCCAACGCAGTGTGGGCGAGGTCTCTGGCAAGGAGACACGGGGCCAGAGGTTGAGCAAGGCGCAACGCACTGGATCGCTAACGGCCACAGAAAATGGGGGGCAGCCGCATGGATCATGAAGGTACGAGCGACCTCCATGACTAGGCCAATGCGGCGCTCAGCAATCCCATTTTGCTGCGGGGAGGCCGGAAGCATGAACGACTGGTGCATGCCCTCCTCCTCACTGAACGATTGCAAGAGGCCAGTCGGAGGAGAACTCACCACCTCTATCAGAGTGCAGACGCAGGACGGGAAGGTCCGTGCGGAACCGCTCGCGGAGCTGGAGACGAACAGCGCGGATCCAACGGATCAAAACAGCAGGGACATCACTCTTGCAATGCAAGGGGAAGACCGTGGTGTAACGCGAGTAGTCGTCAACAACCAGCAAGAAGTACCGCTCGCGACCTTGTCCCTTGACGGGGGCTGTGCCCCTCACGTCCATGTGGAGAGTCTGCAGAGGAGCAGTCGTCGGAGGAAACGAGGAGGAGTGAGGAGCGGCGCGCTGCCGCCCCTCGACGCAAGGAACGCAGGGCGGGGCAGGCGAGGGTGGGAGGGGAGGGAGAGACCTGGGAAGACCAGAGATAAGGAGTCGGGAGTGCATGCCACGGAGGCGTGGCAGGGAGGGATGACCAAGGCGGTGGTGCCAAGGAGGGTCTGGTGCGACAGGTGACGACACTCGCAGGGGGAAGCTACCTGACCCGACGCGGCCACCTGACCAGACGCAGCAACCTGAGGAGGCTCAGTAGTCAGTGTGTACAGACTAGACTTAGGCCGACGAGTGAACGTGGCCAGGTGACGGCCAGTCCGGGAGCACGTGCAGATCGCCACACGCTACCGTCCAGGGGTAAAGGTTCAACCCCCGCATCCTAAAGGACAGCGTTGCTCGTCAAGTTCGTCGAGAACGAGGGGAGGTGGAGACTTGACAGTGAGCCGGACGGAACCGCCGGACACGGGAGCACAGTGGAGGAGCGTGCAAGCACGGGACCCCCAGAGGGGTCAGCCAGGGAGACCGCAACCGGTCTAGGGAGTGGTGTGACTGTGGTACTGTCACGAAAGAAACAGCGAGAAGCACCTGAGTCAAGAGTGAAGTTGTGCAAGGCCTCAAATGGCCCAGTACCAGAGAGAGCAGACTCACTAGCACCTAGAGCAGTAGACTCTATACCTGGGTCTGGTGGCATACACAAGTAACAGTCCCCATCAGCACTAACAGTCAATGCATACATGGCAGCAAGGATAACATCAAAGTCAAGTGCAAAGATATCAACATCGCGCTTAAGCAGGTCCGCCCAGTGGGGGAGCTCCATTGCGTCAGGAAACTGGGCACGCCAAGCGTCGTCAAGGCGGGAGAAACAACGGTACTCAGTGTGAAACGTCATGCATGTTTAACCAGCGCGGTCACCAGTGCGAATGACGTACGGGCAGCGAGCACTACCCCCAGACGCCCCACGCTGAGCGTACCATTCACGAAGATGCTGGGGCGTGAGGGGCTCGTGTGGACGCTGCTGCTGCTGGCGCTGGCCACCACCAGCACCTCCCCGCTGAACAGCTCTACCACGCCCGCCACCACCGCCGCCACCACGGCCAGTACCACCGCTCCCACTGCCGCCACCACCTCCGCTGCCGCCACCACCGCCACCGCTCCCACCACCGCCACCTCCACCACCACCATGCCCACCGCCGCCGCCACCGCCGAGCGGCGCGTGGGCTGACAAGGCAGTGGGCGGACGGGTCTCGCGCGGGGCTGACGAGGCAGCGGGCGGGCTGCGCGAGCGGCGCGTGGGGCTGACTAGGCAGCGGGCAGGCAGCGCGCAGGCAGAGCAGCTAGGGCGTGGGGTAGCAGACGGTGGGCCCTAAAAAAAAAAATTTCGGTCCTAGGGACCTCCTGCTCTGAAACCATGTTGAAACTAACAAACAGGAATGACTGCATTGAAACAAAACTGGGTACAAGTACTAACCCTAGAGTTGGGCTGTACCCATTATGGGCTACCCCGCTATAGCCTACACAAGATAGACATGTATAGTTTGACAGGTTTGATTAAGCTTGGTTCGGGTACATAAACATGACATGCCTCACTACAGGCTACAACATTTGACACACCCCAATAGCCTGAGTGAGGGGTGCCATGCAACAACCAAATAGTACGGTCACAAGACCAGTCTCAAAGAAGCAAAGCTCAGGGTGGATCACAACGTCACCACACACTCTGAGCACAAACAAAAGAGCCACAAGGCTAGTCCAAGAGTTCACAGAGGCATTTGCAAAACATATAAACAAAGCCAGCAGAGATCACAAGACTACGCAAGACGAGAACTTGTGTCAACGAGACCTAACTACACAGAACACCTTTGGTGTGCGGAGATAACTACTACAACGGGAGCTAGGCTACGGGCTAGGCACGGGTGCTCGTGTGATCTCTGCGTTCACTTGTTCCTTAGTCGTTTCCAAGTGCTCACACTACTTGCTAGTTCACAGGGAGAATTGGCAAGAGTTTCACTAGGAAAGGTTGACAACAATGATACAATGAAGTTGGCAAGGCAAGACTACATCAGAGCTAGCATGCAAGCAGGACGACTGCCAGTGCAGCACAGTCGACCGTGTGCCAGCACGACTTGGTCGACCGCGCTCCAGCAGTGCAGAGTCGTGGCTTGCCACCGCTGCAAGTCGACGGCGTGACAACAGCGCAAGTCGACGGCGTGCCAGCGTTGCTCCCGCAGTACAGCATCGCACCCGCTTCGCAGGTGCGCGCAGATGATTGGCGTGCAGTGCCTCGTCACCTGCACAGCGCACACACCAAGTCCACTTCGTGCTGACGACAGCTGCTGATCAGCCACGTCGACCTCGGGATACCACCACTGAGGTCGTCCTCGCCAAAATCACCTGGGCGAACGTCGCATGCCTCCGCAGAACCTCGTCACCCAGGTAACCTGGTCGACCGAGCAACCAGGTCGACCAGATGCTCCTGTGCGTGCCCGTCGACCACGCAGGTCGACGACCACTTCCAATCGACCTCACCAGGTCGACCACTGCCTCTGGTATGTGCCGGTCGACCTCCCAAGTCGACGGCCACCTCCAGTCGACCTCCCCAGGTCGACCACTACCCCCTGGTCGACCAGCTCCAAGTCGACGTCACTCCAGGTCGACCAGAAGGTCTGGTCGACTTACCAGGTCGACCAGAAGGGCTGGTCGACTTACCAGGTCGACCAGAAGGTCTGGTCGACTTCCCAGGTCGACCAGAAGGGCTGGTCGACTTACCAGGTCGACCAGAAGGTCTGGTCGACTTCCCAGGTCGACCAGAAGGGCTGGTCGACTTACCAGGTCGACCAGAAGGTCTGGTCGACTTCCCAGGTCGACCAGAAGGGCTGGTCGACTTACCAGGTCGACCAGAAGGCCTGGTCGACTTCCCAGGTCGACCAGAAGGGCTGGTCGACTTCCGAGGTTGACCACCCGAAGTTGGCGCCCTCCCGAAGTCGGCGCCCATGCAGTGGCTCCCCGTGCAGGTCGACCAACCTCATCGACCAACTCGCCCACTGCTGCAGGTCGGCTGCACCCTACACCCGACCACGAAGTCGGCACCGCCCAAGCGAGGACGGGGCCAACATACAACTCCCGTTGACATGGTGGTCACAAGGCGCGTTGATCTGCTTCACTCCGCTTACTAGTCGAGGCTCTCAGTAATGGAGAATCGTTGCCTCGTTGTCAGTGAACAAGGTCTGTGCACAGCTCGTCCACTCACCAAGGTCGGTGAGCAAGAACTCCAACCAACGCAGCTCCTGTGCAGCCATGGCTCCAGCGTAGATCTCAGCCTCAGCAGTAGAGGTTGACACAAAGGAGGAACAAGTGGACCTCCACAAAACAGCTCCAAAGCCCAGGCTGAAACAGTATCCCTAGGTAGACCTGTGAGTCTCGGCGTCGTCAGCGTAAGAAGAGTCACAATGACCAGTAAGTACGACAGACTGCTGCCCTCCAAGAACTAGCCCCACGCCTGATGTCGTCGCTAGGTACTTCGCCACCCTCACAGCAGCTGTCCAGTGAACAGGACGGTGTCTCCCTGGCGCAACAAAGCGAGCAAGGATGCTGAGAGGGAAGGCGAGGTCTGGGCGAGTACAAAGTCATCAGGTACATGAGGCAGCCCACAAGCTCTGCGTAGGGACCACTAGGCTCAAACGGCTCGTCAGGAAAGGGTCCAGTGTGTTTGTGGTCAACAGCAAGAGGTGTGCGTTGTACTGTGGAGTGCTGAAGCTCGAACCGCTGAAGGACCTGCTGCACCATGTGAGACAGTGAAAGTGTAATGGCGCGAGCGACTCTGTCCTGGATGATGTGCAGGCCAAGGTAGTGGCGCAGCTCACCAAGGTCAGTGCACGTATCTCTTCTGCAGTTCGGACTTCACGTCAGCCAAAGCAACCCTGTCAGCAGTGGCAAAAACCAGGTCGTCGACGTAGACCAGTACAAAGAACGGTGTGGAGCCACGACGGACGAACAGCAACGGGTCGGCAGAAGACGGCTAGAAACCGAGGACAGAAAGGGTAGAACGAAGGGTGTCATGCCACTCACGAGGGGCTTGACGGAGACCGTAGACCGGTCGCCTCAGCCTCCACTGGGTCCCAGGAGGGAAAGTGCTAGTGAAGGCAAAGGGACGATACAACTAGACCTCCTCGTGTAGGCTACCCTGAAGGAAGGTAGTGGAGAAGTCGAGAGAGTGTAGCTCGTAGTCTCTCTGTGCTGCTACGTGCAGTAACACCCAAAGAGTGGTCATCTTTGGGGTAAGCGTGAAGGTCTGAAAGAAGTCAACTCCCTCGCGCTGACTGAAACCTCTAGCCACATAGCGTACCTTGAAGACCGGAGGAAATCCCGATGGCCGCTTCACCCTGAAAATCCACATGCCATCGACTACGTTCGCCCCAAGGAAGGGAACCTTGTCAACGTAGGTGCCTGTGGATCTGTAGGAGGCTATCTCTGCGTCCATGGCAGCTCTTCACTGGGAGGCCCAAGGCCCTGACACTGCCTTAGCGTAAGTGCAAGGAGTCGGTATGTCAAGGGCGTTGGGGTCTCCCTCAGGGGCGAGCAGCATGGCACAGAGATGAGGCGAAGCGGCTGCCAAGACTCTAGCTCAAATTGCCTGTCGTTTGGGGCGTCACAGCCAAGGGCAGACTCACCCCCGATGGCCAGAGGACTGGTAGGAGGAGCAGCCACAAGACTGGTGGCATAGTCAAGGCGGTGAGTAGAGGCAGACTCAGTGACTGCGACAGTAAGAGCCGAGACAGAGGACAGAGAGGAATGAGGGTTGGTAACAAGAGAGGCGAGAACAGGACCGTACGTGTGATAGTAGTCTATGTCAGGAGTAGAGAGGGAAGCAGTGAGGGCCGACTCACAAGGAGAAGGAAGTACAGATGGAGACGAACGAGGTGGACTAGAATAGAATAGGGCAGTACGAAGGTCAGTGACAGGAACAGAAGATGAGGGTTGAGCACGAGGAGAGCGACGAGAGGCCCAAGTGTGAGAAAGAGGAGGGGACAACGGAGGCTGACAACGAGGGAAAACAGCTGGGGATGGGTCAAGAGGAGACCAGAGACGGGAGGAGAGGGGGAGGAGGGGGGAGAGGGAGAGGGGAGATCGAGGGTCCAAAGACCAGAGATAGGAGGAGGAGGCGGCGGCGGCTGCTCCTCCGGCTGCGGCTGTTGCTGGCGCTGCTGCTCCTCCTCCAACTGTCGTAGCTCCAGCAGCTGCCGCTCTAACTCAAGGCTCTCTCTCTCCAACTCCAGCTGCTCCTCACGTGCACGGCGAAGACGGGCCTGGTGCCGGGTCGGGTAGGGGTGCGGGCGCGGAGTAGTGTCCGGGGCAGGGGCAGCCCCAGGACTACCCTCCAAGGCACCAGTCACACCACCCCCACAGCCAGCACCACCAAAAGTAACAGGGCTAGTCCCAGGCTCTCCAGGTCCAGCAGAGGGTGCACCCCCAGGCGTAGCACCCTTAGGGACAGCTCAACTAACAGGAGCTCCCCGAAGACTAGAGTCTCCTGCAGGCACGGGCTCAGCTCCAACTCCAGCACCCCCAGAATAAGGACCTCGCACATATATGCTCTCAGCTCCAACTCCAACTCCTCTAGAGCTAGCACCTCCAGGGTCCTTGGCACGAACACCGGCTCCCGCAGGGTCTGCAGTAGGCTGTGAGGAGGACTGCGGGGAAGGAGGCTATACCTGAGGGGCTACCGAGGGGAGGGGGTAGCGTGGGACACACCTGACGGGGCTGGACCAGGGGGGGGAGGCTGTACTAGGGAAGCAAAAGGGGGAGCGGAAGTCAAGAAGGGAGGGGGAGGAGGAACCAGGAGACCTCGACAGGGGTACTTGTCATAGAAGGGGACGTACTCGTCAAAACGAACGTCACGGGAGTCATAGAACCGACTGGTGAAGGGGAGGGTGGTAGAAGGTGAAGTCAGAGGAGTCCTATGGAAAACCAAGGAAGACACAGGGAACGGCGTGAGGCGAGAGCTTGTCTGCGGACGTGTCGCGAACAGTACCATGCAACCCCAGACACGAAAACGTGACGCATCATCAGGGCACAGAAAATGGGGGGCACGGGCGTGAGTCATGGAGGTGCGGGCGATCTCCATGACCAAGCCTATGCGGCGCTCAGGGCCAGGGCGAGAGGCGGGGCCCCAGACGTCCAAGTGG